ACATTCCCCAGCCAATTAAGGGTTGATGAGCTCATTAATAACCCACAGCAAAGATCTCCAGCCATCAGGTTCCTCTACACTGCCAGAGTGAGCAATTCCAGGCTGGAGATCAAGTCTGAGGTGTTTTATCCTGACCAGCCAGGCTTTGTTGGGATCATGGAATGGTTTGGGTGGGAAGGGACCCCAAAAACTCCTCTGTGGGAATCCACACAATCAGAGGGTTCTGGGAAAGCTGCAAAGGCCTCAGAGGCAGCAGAACTGTGATTAGAGCCAAGCAGCAGCCATGAGATTGGTCAGCAGAAAAATTATTAAACTGTAGAAAAGCAAGGACAAATAGAACAATGGGCTGTGTATTAATGCTTGTCTAGAATAACTCTCTAAGGTACAGAAAAGTTTATCTAGAGAGATATTAGGAAGGTTAAAGATTAATAATGGAGCTCTGTGTGTTGAGGCTCACAAGCAGGTGTTGTATTTGAAATAAGCAAGCATTGTTTAACCAAAGGTACCTGTGCTTATAGTGATTGTATAGAACTACTGTCAATGTACTTTTGCTTTGTGTGATTGGTCAAAAAACTTATAAAGTGAGTTTTAACATTTAGTTTTTTGGCCTGCTGGCTGGGATGTGAGCTGCTGGCATCTTCCCATTGTCATAGCCATGGAATGGGAGTGATGCTGGAAAATCAAACAGCTCAAGGCACGTTCCCAGCAGCCCTGTCCCTTTTGTGATCAGCCACCCTGCAGTGCCATGGGCAGGGACACCTCCCAGCACCCCAGGGTGCTCCAAGCCTCACCCAGCCCTGGGGCAGCCACAGCTCCTCTGGGCAGCCTGTGCAGAGGCAGATCCAGCCCCTTTGGGGGTTTTCACCCATTCTTTAATTCCGCACACACAAAAGCTGCTCAGGCCTCAGCCACGCTCAGAATGTCTCTGATTCCTGCAGCCCCAGCTGCCCCCAGCTCTGTGGGCTCACCCCCATGGCAGCAAAGACGATGGCAAAGTTCTCCTCACTGTAATCCATCACATCTTTGGATTTCTTCACCAAGCCGGCCTGGCGACAGATCTGAGCCGCGATCTAGGCAAGAAACACCCCAAGGTTTGCACCTGATGCTGTCCCACAGCCCTGAATTTGATTTATTTTGGCTCCCAGCGGGTTTAGAGCAGCTCTGAGGGTCTCACCTCGTTGTGGGGCAGCCCAGCAGCTGAGAAAATGGGGATTTTCTGGCCCCTGGCAATGCTGTTCATGCCATCGATGGCAGAAATGCCAGTCTGGATCATTTCCTCGGGGTAGATCCGGCACTGGGGGTTGATGGGCTGCCCTGTGGGATGGTGGAGAGAACACAGAGTTACTCCCTGGACACTCAAAAAGCATCTTTCACATTTTCTGCTCCCTCATCTCCCTGCACTTGGGTAATTTAATTAGAATTTGGTCCTACATATACTCAAAAATGAGTAGAAACCCCAATATGACACCAACAGATCTTCACCTGCACCTGGTCACACCTTTCAAGACACTGCTGTTAAATGCTCATGTCAGTGGTAAAAATTATTTAAAATTCTGTCAGGTTATCAGAATTTTACCTTTAGGTGTTGTAGAATTAAGTCCACAAATAACAAAGAGTATCTTTAAAGTACTGCAGAAAATTTCTTGGATAATTTAATTAGAATTTGGTGCCACACACAAACTCAAAAATGGGTACAAACCCCACTGGGATACCAACAGATCTTCACCTGCACCTGGTCACACCTTTCAAGACACTTCTTTAAATGCTCATTTCAGTGGTAAAAATCATTTAAAACTCTGCCAGGTTATCAGCATTTCACCTTTAGGTGCTGTAAATTAAGTTTAGAAATAACAAAGAACATCTTTCAAATACTGCAGGAAATTTTCTGCTCCCTCATCTCCCTGCACTTGCATAATTTAATTAGAATTTGGTGCCACACACAAACTCAAAAATGGGTACAAACCCCACTGTGACACCAACAGATCTTCAGCTGCACCGGTCACACCTGACCTTTCAAAATTCTGCTCTTAAATGTTCATTTCAGTGGTAAAAATTATTTAAAATTCTGTCAGGTTATCAGAATTTTACCTTTAGGTGCTGTAAATTAAGTTTACAAATAACAAAGAACATCTTTCAAATATTGCAGAAAATTTTCTGCTCCCTCATCTCCCTGCACTTGGATAATTTAATTAGAATTTGGTGCCATACACAAACCCAAAAATGAGATTAAACCCCACTGTGACACCAACAGATCTCAGCTGCACCGGTCACACCTGATCTTTCAAAATTTTGCTGTTAAATGTTCATGTCAGTGGTAAAAATTATTTAAAACTCTGCCAGGTTATCAGAATTTCACCTTTAGGTGCTGTAAATTAAGTTTACAAATAACAAAGAACATCTTTCAAATACTGCAGAAAATTTTCTGCT